CTCTGTAACCAGCTCCCACAGTCAGTTAGGCAGTCTACTTCTTTGCCGGTCTTTAAAAGTCGCCTGAAAACCCACTTATTTCGTTTAGCCTTTCCTGAACATGCTTGAAGTTGGCTTTCTTTCATGTAGTTTTGATTTTTTGCTTTAAACTCTGTTGTTTCATGTTCAATGTCTTAATTTCTTTAATCATGATTGTATTTTGTTCTTCGGCGCCTTGGTCTCCCGTAATGGGTGGGGATGGCGCTATAGAAAAAAGCCTTGATTGATTGATTGATTGATTGACATATACGTTTTGGTCCATATCACCTAGTCTTAGCACAGAGTTAGCATGTTTTCCCCATGCAAGTGTGGGTTTTCTATGGATACTCCAGCTTTCTCCCACCGTAACAATGTATGTTAGGTTCATTGTGGGCCCTAAATTGTCCCTAGGTGTGTGCACAGTTGTATGAATGGCTGTATGTCCAGGGTGTCCCCAGCATCTAACACGATGACTGCTGGAGTTGGGCACCATCAAACTTAGCTGTGTGGTAGAGCTCTATTTCTGACCCACGCTGTTGCAGGTGAGAGTTTCAGCTTGTGAATGGAGAGAAGATGGGTAACACACACCTCTCTGTTACGTCAGTTCCAAACTCGCATTTTTCTCTCATCTGCTCTGAAATTAGCTTTAGCATGCGGCCCTCAGAGAGCACCGTACATGACTTTCATGTTGAGAAAACCAGAGAAAAACAGAGTTTCAGCATAAAAGGGAAAAGCTTTGTCATGCTATAGATGTCTTTTTGATCTCATGTTGTAAATGTTTTTTTTTTCATTTAAAGTCACCGATTTTCATGACACTTTTAAGAGGATTAAACGTTCATTAAAAAGCTCATTAAAATGTGATTATAAGCCCCACAGATGCACTTAAGGTACAGTAAGAGCTGCATTTTTGCATGGGGGCGGATTCAACACAACCTCTGTCTGGGGTACAGAAGTGGAAGCACTTCAGCTTTTAAATTATGCACAACCAAAAGAAATAGAGTAGCTAAAACAGTAAAATGCATTTATTATAGATCATTCTTGTGAAAAAAAAAGACTGCATTTATCTCTGCGTGTGCTTTAGCTGCTCAAAATGAGTTATTTGCAGAAGAAACGCCGAGGCAGGAGAATCTCCTCTCACAGGCTTCTCTGATTCAAACATTTAACCTTAAACCGCTTTCCTCGTTTTGTGAAAACCTCTTTCCCTCCACATAATCCCTTGATTACACTTGCTTTTTCATTAGTTGTAGACAGTTTCTGCTGACTTGAGCAGTTTTCCAGCAATAACATTAAAAGCTACTCTGTGTTTCTGTCAGTGTCACCTGGTTACCCTGAACACAGTCTGACTGGTTACACACCAACCCATTAAAACCGCTCCCCAAAACACCCTGAGAGGGGTTTATTGATTATTTCACAACACAGATCGGCAAAACTGGTTCTGACCAAAAGAGGTAAAGTTAATCGACCCGAAACGTCTCAGAAAGCAAATTAATCTCTAAATTGCATCCTGTTTGATAAAAGCACCACCTGTTTAATTGGCCACTGTGGAACTATGTGTTAGTGGTAACTTTATATTGTACTTCCTTTACAGAGTGTAACCACAAACCCAAAATAAATCCCATTCACAAAAATCACATGCATCTCTGGGGCAGGGGTGTCAATCCTGAAGATTTCAGGGGTGTCTTTGCTCCAAGTAAAGCCGGGCATACACTGTGCGACTTTTTCACTTTTTTGAGCCGATTTTCCAGTCGTGCGAGAATCCACGACATCGGGGCGAGTTTTGCGCCGAGCGGTCGTGTAGTGTACAGGGGGTTACGAGAGGCGATTAACACCACGTGACCAGCTGCCGATCAGCAGTCGTGAGGTCGCACGGACTTCTGACGTGTTTAATATTTCGCTCGTCCCTCGTGAGGGTATCGCACTGTTGAAGCGGCGCTGCGAGCAGCTGCGACCCAAAATGTATCAGAACCGCTCACGGCGCATGCGCAAACCTGCATCAACGCCTCTCGCTCGCTATTTCCCTAATAACACACGTTGTTCATTTTTGTTTCTACACGTTTTTTTACTCACAAAGATTGTCAAGAAAGTGTGTTTGTCGTGTTCATGTCAAATTAAACTGATCACAAAACACAGATTTACTTTCTTTATTTCGTTTTCCTCATCCAACCCCCATAAATCCCTGTGTGTCCTCCTGCAGCACTCCCGAAGGACAACAGGCAAAACAAGACAAAAAAGTCTGACGTGTTGAGTAAAAACTGCTATTTTTAGCATATTTTTAGGGCCGACATGTTGCTACCAGACGTACAGTGTGAGCAGTCAGGTCGCATGCGAGAACTGGGTCGTACAGTGTGAGCACATGACTCGTGAGATCTGCCCTGCGAGGAAGTCGTACAGTTTGAGCTGAAGCTGAACGCTGCGAGTGAAAAAGTCGCACAGTGTACGCCCAGCTTAACATACCGGATGGTAATTAGTGTGTGATTTATCGGCTTCTGCAGAGCGTTATTAGCTGCTGAACAGTAGATTCAACCATTGAATCAAATGTGTTAGAGTAGGGAAATAGCAAAAACATGCTGGGTAGTGGCTCTCAAGGACCAGGATTTGACATTAAAGAGCAAGTCACCCCCTACCAGATTCTTACTTAACTCCCACTTCCTGTTTGAAAAATGAAACAAATGCTGTTGCCTAGCAGACTCAGAAGGTGGATCCAGTAACAAACACACCGCGCTTGTTCGAGATGAGCCAGTTCTACGCAGATTAGATCGCCGGTGATCGGCGCGCAGAGCATGCCGGTTAGATCTGTGTCCGACTCGACACCGACTTGCTCTGACGTTATGCATACGTAGGCAACAATAACCTCGTGAGATCAAGGCGGCCGCAGAATTTGGAGCAAGGCTGTTAAGGTTGCTAGAAAGGTTAAAATTCCACCTTTTTAGAAATGCATTTGGGGGCAGGCGCGTTGCAAGCTTTTCAAAAGTGTGGGGGATGTTGTCTGTGCCTAAAATAATTTCATGTTATTCATCTTGTTAGTTTAGGTGCGAATTTTAGACGCGTCACGCATGTCTCCGTTTTAAACATGTTTAAACCGTTCAGAATACAAATCCAGGCTCTGTCTCGTTAGATTGGTGTAACTAAAGTTTGTACTGAATGAAACTTTACATTAAACCATGTTGAAAAGAAAAGGATCCGTTAAATCGTTTCCCCCTCATTTACAGTCAGCGGTGCGCGTGGCTCTGGGGTTTATCAAGTTTAATTGTTTCTCTTTGCAAAAATCTTCACAAGAAGGCAAAACAGTTAAATGGCAGGTTACAGATCTTTCCATTTGACTGTTTATTTTGACGGATAAACTCAAGGATGCTGGCTGTTTTGAAAGAATTACCCCGACGCACACTGATGCGCACACAGATGAGCTGACATTTTAATCGTTACGCACATCGCGGAGGTAACTAAATCCATCAAGAAATGATTCCCATCAGAACATCAGAGCTTTATACTGGACACTGTGCTCAGCGCGGCTCGGAGCGCCCACGGTGGACAGTGGGCTGAAGATCTGTAGAGGGGTTCGCAGCGCAGTGCAGAACCACGGCGCATGCGGTAAGATTTCCTCCCACTGAAACGGTCTGGGAACCCGGTCTCTCTGAGGGATGTGTCACTTGGAAAAATGTTCGCTGATTATGAAACTTTGGCTGAATAGCGCTTGTTCCCGTCTCTGGAGACGCATTACGCATCCAGTCTGAGGCAGAACAGCCTCTTCAGCTCAGAAAGCACCTGTAGAGACATTTGATCACGCACAAAGTTCATGTGGAGCAGAAGCGGTCGGGCCACGGCAGGTGAAATGTTCCTAGCCTACATGAAGTGTAACTGTTTAATTGTAACATTAATATGTTACTGGACAGGCTGGTCTGGTTGGTTAGACCAGTGTTTGAAGTGGAAAACACACACACACACACACACACACACACATTAAAATAATGCTGATAGCGTGGACTAGAAGACAGGTGATGGTGTACGTATTTAAATGATGATCAGGCTGCTGTAAAATGTAATCTCCATCCACATCCAGACACAATTATCCTCTATTCTTTCTCTATTTGCTCTGCTCTTGTCTGGGCTGACCTGACGGTGCGCGCGGCACGCCTAGCGGCTGATGCACATTTTACGCATTTGGAGAGGTGGGCTGGATGCTGGAAGATGGTCCACTTAACACACGGGTGTAGACTACATATTAATGACAAATGAATGAAAGTTAAATTGTGAGTTTTTACTTCATATTTTAGAAATAAAAAGGACGGGGGAAACATTTATGACGTCTTTTTAAACAAAATTTTCTAGCGCGACCTGCCTGCTTCACTTAAGTCACTGCTTATTAAGGTCCGTCCAAAATTACCGTGGCCCACCCAAAAATGAAAACCTGGCGCCGTGACTGTTATAAACCTCTGCAAATTGTTGTTCTTCACATTATCAAACTCAGACTTTGTACAGCTAATGTCAAGATGTAAAATTATTCAGTCGAGCTCTTCCGTCCCTCCCTCTCCTGCTCTCCTTGAAACCCGACATCGGCTGTCAGAAGCGGGAGGTGAAGAAGGAGATGAGGCAAACAGAGTGAGTGCGACGTAAAGAAACCAGACTGGTGTAGAGGTGAGCAAAACAGCTGGAAAAGTGTGGGTGCCTGTTGAACAATCTCAATAAGAAGAGTGTGGGTGTTGCATCTCCCACATCCCCCACGGGTGCGACGCCCATGTTTGGGGGCCTTTAGAAATCCCTCAAAGGGCCACAAATGGTTTCTATGTCAATTCAAGGTGGAATCACGTTGTGTAATCACAAAGTGTTCCCGTGTCTACAGGGCCTTAACGGGAAGTTTGGATTGGAACAGTGCTGTTTAAAATAACACATTTCCATTGTTTGAGAATAATGTTAAATGTCTTAAGTAATGTAATGGTGCTGGGAACACGCTTGCCTGGTAAGTGTTATATAGACACAAATCTTACTTTTCATCCATGATGGTTGAGTTCCTCAACGTGAATTGGACGATCTCACCGTCGCAGATCTCCGTGTTGTCTACGGTGCCGTTGGCCCTGATGACCGGGTCCATTTCAGTCAGCGAGGCTGCTGGTTTAGAGCTGTTCTCCAGGTTCAGCAGGTTCAGGTAGGACTCTGCACAGTCCACCTGGGCGGGGGAGAGCAGTGAGATCTGTAGTGGCCATGCACGTGCAGAGGTGGTGAGCTGATCCTGGGTCTGATTGTAAGTAGTCTTCAGATTCAAGGAGATGGGTTTTACTGACATAGGAACAGAGCTGCATAGGGACTGTTGACCATCTGGTGGAGACAGAAAGAAAAAAAAAGTCTGTAAAATAAGCAGGAAGCAAAATGAGACGGGTCAACTACAACCCAAATGTTGACTTTTCCATTTTTATCATTTGGTTTATTTGTAATCATCCCTCAAAGAGCTGTCTCAGCAGAAAGGAGGAGTCAGCACGATGCCAGGCGCTGCACTCAAGTGACTTCTGAGATTAGCAGCAAACAGTTTCTACCAGAAAGGACCTACATGATTAATACAAGCACGAAACATGACGCTGAAATGAATACACACTGACAATGGCAGAAAGTAGGAACAATAATGTTGTTATTCATTAGTATTTTGGAAAGATCAGCCATTTTTTGTGGAAAAACACTCCAGTACCTGTAGAAAAATAATACAACACACACTCAGATGATGCTGAGAGACAGCAGTGGAAATCTACGGTGTGTAGTAATACCGAGCAGGCAACTGCAGCCGCTCCCCAATGGAAAACGTTCCGGTGCTCCCAGTGACCCGTCCACCACTGAGCCAGGCCATAATGTATGTTGTTCTGTTCTCAGCAGGTTAATAGATTTCAATAGGTCAGGAAATTTAAAATGAAATTGGTGTTTAATGAATTTCTCTGAAACCCAATATAAGTCAGCACATGGAGACTATATGCATCTGAATAAACAGATCATATGGAAACTGAGCAGAACTTTGATTTTCCTTGTTTTTATTTGCTCATTATTTTGACTTTGAATTTCGTGCATTCCAAGTAAGCACGCAATCTGAATAAAATACATTTTTTTAGTTAGAGAAACTAAACCAGCACCAACCTCAAATCCCAACAGCTCTGCTTCATGCAGATGTTTTAGCAGCAAGTGGGTATTTTATGTGGCGGATGCGATAAAGCATAATTTGATGGCACAAGTGTTGTCTGAACTTTGATCGAAGACAAACTCTTTAACTGAAGTTGGTTTGTAAATTGATGCAGAATAGACATTTGACTTCCACACCGACCGTGGTGAGAAGCCATCAGACACACTCTGCTCAGCTTCTCGGCATCATCTCTCTCAAAAACGAGAGAATGCTCAGCCTGCTTGGACGTCCGCGTTCCTGTAGCAGCTATTTCTTTGGCCATTCTGCTTCTACACCCTATGTAACGGACCATGAACTACTAAAGTTTTAATGGCACGCCTGGCTGAAATGCCCCAAGTGTGTTTTCCATTTTAACTGACCTATTGGGAGCGAACGTATGAATCGTGAAAAAGGCGCCAAAAGAAAAGCAACAAACAGAATAATAGTAACAGGTAAAAGTAACAGTGTTGCTCCCCAACACTCACCGTGTTCGTTGGCTCGAGTCTCCTGCAGCTGCTCCGCCTGCGCCGTTGTGATGGAGCGAGCCTCCATCTGTTTTAGCTGCTGAACGAGCAGGGCCAGGTGCTGCAGCAGGTCCCTGTTCTGCAGCAGGAGCTGGTGGATGCGGGCCTGAGCCTCCATACGAGCAGAGGCCTCTGCTGCTATCTGGTCTTTCAGCAGCTGCACCTGGAGCAGAAAGGAGGATTTACTTTGTGCTCAATGGTTACAGAACAACAACGTTTGCCTGTTTTCTGTTAACTACCTTCCTCTCAACTCGCCTACAAACTATAAATCAAACATTTATTTATGACCTCCTCTGATAAATGATGATACGACTGAAACCAAAAGTAACAATAAGGGTATTATTTAATGGTTGTATTTTAGAAAGGAAGGTTGGTATCTTATCAGCTACAACCACAACACTGTCATAGTTTTCCTGCATCAGTGCTGCCCCCTAGTGGTAATGAGAGTGGAAGAAACAAACAGAACACACTGATGTGCAGTGGTAGGGTGAGGGCATTACACACTATGGTTTTGTTTTTAATGGATTAGTGTCGTTAAACTATCATCATCATCATCATCATCATCATCATCATCGGGGGCCTGCCCTTGGAACACACAGCATTTTGTTTGTTTGTTTATTTTTATTTCAAACATTAACAATTAAAAAATAAAATAAATAACATCATTTGTAACAATCAACATTGCTTGAAATGGAGGTAGGTTGAAGTATGCACTTATAAGGCTCTGCCCCCTTTACATAACGATCCATCCCATCTAAGACTAATTTTGAGAAGTAACTACTATAAACAGCTGGTCCTGATGCACGTGATGCACAAATAGAAACTACTAATATTTCTGAAAGTCTCAGATGGGACACCAAAAAGATAGCAGGTGTGAAACTGATACAAGGAATTTAACACTGATACCGATGCTTTCTTCTGTTCTTCTGATGGCAGTTAGTTTATGCATTTAATCAATTTTAGCTCCAAATGATCTAAAAACTATTTAACTCACAAAAAAGGTTTAAAATAATTTCGTTACATTCAGCTTTGCAAGTGTGCTCTTATTTTGCCTTGTCTTTTTATTACGGATGTCCGATGTTAGCGGTCTACCATTGATATCGGTTGATATGGGCATTAAAAATATAATAAATTATAGAGTATAAAAGTAACTAGTTAATACAACTATGAAAACAGGTACGGTATGCTAGTTTTGACTCCAATCGGAGCTCTGCCAGCTTCTCACCTGAGCGACGGCCACCTGTGTGTGCTGCTGCTGCTGCTGGAGCTGCTGCTGAAGGAGCTGCAGGTAGTGCTGCGAAGCCAGCGGAGTGACAGACGGAGAGCAAGGGCTGCTGGGTGAAACGCCTTGGGACGTCACAGTGAAGACAGACTTTCCATCAATATCCTGACATGAAGCAGAAGAGAAAACATAATGAGCATTGAAATAGCATCCATTATTTTATACTAGCTGTCAAACAAACACCCTCATCCCAAAGTCTCTGCCTGAGCAAAATAGAGCACCACACACTCTACTTCACATTCTGTCTGCCCTCGGTTTTCCCCGGGAGGAGATTTAAATGAATTTCCAGATAATCGACATCATTGCAAAACTTTCCCTGAAGAAATGCAGCATCTTTAAGCAAATTTTCCTCAGCTAGAAAGTGTTTTTCTGTTTGAGGAGACACAAAGGAGAATAAAGTTTGCATGGATTGTGTGGGTTTGAGCACATTCACTGACAACATTCCACCACTAGAGGGCAACATCGCACAACAAACAGTAAAATAAGCGTTTCTTATGTTTACACAGGTTAGTGTATGCAGCATGGCATTTATTAAAATACAAGAGTTGAGTGATGTTTGACTAACATCTAAGACAGTGGTTCCCAACCTTTTTCCCAAGGTACCCCGTTTTTTACCAGTAAAATTTTTGACGACCCCTCCCATTCTCTCTTCCAGTACAAACAGTATTAAGAAATGATAAAATTGTTCAAGCATATTTTAATATGCTTTGATTCAATAGATAACAGTAATAGTAGGCTCCAGTACAGAACAAAGTCATTAACAAAACCAAACAGAGCATAATGTGCTTGACAGTTTGTATTACTTTTCTGAACACATTGTTTCTTGTAAACACTGATAAATCAATCATTCCTTTCAATAAACGTTTGACACATAAAAATACACTGAGCAAAATGTACTTAAATGTGTATATTACTGTTTATACTAGATTATTTACTGTAAACGCTGTGATTAATCAACCAGTCCTATCTTTAATGAACTTTTGACACTTGAAAATAAAACAGTGAGCTGAGCAAAATGTTCTTAAAAGTGTGTTACTTTTTCTGTACTAATTATTTCCTGTCTTAATATCAGTAAACTTTTCACTCATGAAAAAAAAGTGAGCAAAATGTAGGCTATAAACAAGTAATGACTGAAGTTTTAACCCCTTAAATTGGAGAGGCTTTGGCGCCCCCTTGTGGGGGTCGGGACCCCGAGGTTAGGAACCACTGATCTAAGACATGAAACATAACTGTTGCATGACATCTGTGAACTAAGAAAAGCCTTTGATAGATTTTCCTTGATCCACATAGCATCTCAACCACAGCCCATTTAGAAGATCTTTTGCCCAAACTTTAAGTGATCAAACTCCTCCATATCGTAATCCTTCCTTCCTCTCCTGTCCTCCTGCGCCGGTGCTTATCTTCATAGAGCAGATGTTTGTGAACCCTTCTGTTGGATTATTGTGCTGTGTCTGAAAAATCACGGGGAGCAGACTGGGTTTTGGGGATTAGGTGTCTCCTTTACACAGTAGGAAAGAATATTTAAGCTAGCCAGTCCAATCCCCTTGCTTCTTTTTTCAGCAGGATAACATTCTGGTGACAAGTCTGTAGCAATCGCTGCAGTAGAGGACAAAATGCTATACCTTTCTTAGCTCAATGCGCCGTTTGGGAGCTTTATACACTGATAACAGTATGAAGCAGCACTAAAGACAAGGCGATGAATCAAGAGTGCAGTCGGTGTCCTTCAGCTGCACAGACAGGAGCAGCTAGAAGCTAAGAGACTCGATGCTACGGAAAATGTTTAGGCCAGCAGAGGTGGAAATAAACAGAAGTTTGGATTTTATGACTGTGGATGGGTTTGCTAACTAATTTGACTGTGAGGCTTCAGAGATCAGTGAGTACAAGAAGAAATACAGACACAGGAAAGGATTAGTGGGTTTTGCTAGAGAAGCAAGATCACACAGTACCCTAAAGGGTCAGAAATGGATTTTGTGTTAAAACATTTCCAATAAAACCCTGAAGTTGTGGCTGAAATGCTATATTGTTTTTAGTTTTGAAGTTGGATAATCAGCGTATTTTAGATCCTTCAGTCAGATGTTTCTATGGTTACTGAAGTCAAATTAAAAGCATTTCAATGTATGAAAGGCCTGATCAAGTGATATAACTCAATCGGAGAACAAGAGCCAATAACAGTAAGTATGAAAACCATTGGTTGCAAAAATGTGAACCTTAACGGACTGCTTATATCGAAGATTTTTGATGCAGTCCGATATAATCCAATAGTGTTGTTGGGCCAATATCGAATGACTTCCGATATCAATATCGGAATGGGACATCCCTAATAGCAACCATGACAGACTGAGCCAGACTTGAACCTGCAACCCTCCATTATGAGGCTGGCACTTAACTCCTCTGCCACTGTTGCCATAAACGTTTCTAAATTGTCAAAATTTGTGTTTTTCTTTTGTCTAATCACCTTCTGAGGACTCACCACAAGTTTGAATCACTAAAGACTCACTTTAGCCTTTTAAAACAATGCTCCATGATGCTGTAAAAATAGTATATCACCAAACAGTTCTTAGAGGACTGGGAGGAGTTCCTCTGGGAGAATGTGTGGGTACCATTCTTTTTTATGACAGTGGATGAGTCGACTCCCTTGGCTGGGAGGCAACCCCACACAAATGGTCTCAGGATACTGACACTGACGGCATTGATATCAATCCTTATCATTTGTTCTCCAGACAAACCAACATTTCCACCAGCTGAGAGGCCTAGTGGTATGAGTGTTTGCCCTGAGACTGGGAGATTGTGGGTTCGAATCCACAGTTGGGTCATACCAAATATTTTCTAAAAATGGGACACAAAGCCTCTCCGCTTGACACTCAGCATTAAGGGGTTCGACCACCAAATGGTTCCCGAGCGCGGCCGTGTCTACAGCTCATTGGTCTCCCAAGGGATGGGTCAAATGCGGAGAACAAATTTTGCACATCAATGTGACAACTAGTGGGACTTCACTTAAAATACTTGAAATATTGGAAATTGCTTTACCAAAATTCTCAGCAGTCCAATCCCTGGATCTCACTTAGAGAAGTGGCTTCCTTGCTGCCCTTTTTGGCACCAGCTCATCCCCCCAAACTCTCCACCTCACTGTGCAAGTAGACACATTCACACCTACCTGGTGCCAGTGAAGCTCTGCACCCCTGGTGCCCTGACCCTGCAGATGAATCAGCTTTAGGAGATGATCCTGGAGCTGGCTGGAAATTCTTGCAATGCCCTAAAGCTCTCTTCACAAATTAAGTCTTTCTTTGGAGGTGGGAGGAATACATTCTGGATTTTATGCAAACTGACAAAATGAAAACTGGAGCAACAAACTTAGTGACAAACTTTGTCTCATTCTCAACACGTTTGACCACATGACAACGGAGCATTTGTGCCTTTATGCAGTGCAGCGTGAAACCAGTCCTTACTGAATTATAGCCCACATTCATTAAGGCTAGCCGATGAAACTGTCCTGTGCCACAGCACTAAAACCTTTTCTTTGGCAAGAGAATTAGGGAATAAAAGGTCATGAGGAGCCATAAAAATGTGAAATGTGTTGTTCTTTTTCCAACTTCTCTGTGGGGAAATCAGCACAGACAAGCACCTGGTTTGTGCTGAAATGAACATTTAGGGAGAGAATCATACTGCAGTAGCAGCATGCTTTACATCAACGCTCAAAACATTTTCTGATTGATCAACAGTACTGCATTTTTTTTAGATTTTTGATTGAGCATCTCAATGTGTTAACTGGAGTCTATTCCAAGTACTGTTGCCAGTTCTGCTACTTCACAGCCTGACTTAGCAAACGCTAGACTTTCTGACTCATATGCAGTGTTGGGAAAGTTTATTTAAAAAATAATTAGTTATAGTTACTAATTACTTCTTCAAAAAGGTAACTGAACCAGAATTTTATAAAAGTAAATAATTACGGGAAAAGTAACTATTGCATCATAACTATAACATTTAGGAACATTTGGGTCCCCTCTTAATAAAACTTACTACATAAATGGCAATGAGGAGATAATTTGAGAGACAACCGTAGATTCCCCCACAACTGAGCTCTCCCTATGGGTCATGATGGTCAGACTATTTATTCACATATATAGGAAGACTATTAGCAAAGCACATTGTTCTTGGGTATAAATTACATGTCTTATAATGTCTAGATTTGCCTGTAAACTAGGTTCTATGTATACTTGGGTGTTTTATTCCCATAGTCATCATCACACACTGGCGAGATTACATCTCCGCATCTGACCCATCACCATGAGGAGCGGTGAGCTGCAGCAGTGGCTGCGCTGAGGAACTTTTCGTTGTTTAACCCCCCAATCCAACCCCTTAAAGCCGAGTGTCCCATTGGGTCCCATTTTTAAAGTCTTTGATACGACCTGAACAAATCTGAACCCTGATCTCCCAATTCCAGGCCATACCACTAGGCCACTGAGAGTTTTACCCCTCCCACTGTCCTAATGGGTGACCCCGCGAGGAACGTTGACCATTGAGCAGGATTGATGGTATATCCCTTGAGGTCCACTTGGCAGGGGTGAGGTGGTGCTCACTCCTCACCCCTGCCACCCATAAAGACAGTGGGAGGGTTAAACGATTCAGGCAAACATGCATGTCACTGCAGCAACAATGATGGTGACGCACACAAATTGCTCACCAAATTCTTCTATAAATTAGGCTTTAGGAGAGGATCAGGAACAGCAACCGGCTCCAGTTGGATGACTGGAGGAAGATTGGAGATCTTAACAAGGAATAAATGAACTGACGACTTGGCGGTGAACATCCTTAAATGAGAGTCCAGCTGTCACACCAGGAAGGGTAGGGCTGTAGACCCGGAGACCACAGAGCAGATTCACGGCTGCAGCGGTGAATCCGTGGTCTCTGGGTCGACTGCCATAGCTACCGATCACGTCTTCCTTGTTGCTCACGGATCGTGATGTGCTTGGATGTACACCTCCACCCCTTTAGCTCCCGGTGAGATGATGACAACTTCAACACACCTCACTGCTGAATTATAGTAAAGCATGCATTTTCTTATCAGTAATGATCATAACATCGTAGCTCACCCCCGCTAGTGTGTGAATGTGTGAACGACTGATTGTTTTGTGAAGCGCCTTGGGGGGCTGTAGAATCCTAAGAAGGTGCTATACAAATACAGGCCACTTACCATTTACTAAACAAAATAATTCCCTTAGTAACGCCATTTTTCCCATCACTGATTACAATGCCGTAAATGTGCGCTCCATGGTTAGTGAAATTTATCTGGTTGAACAATCATAACCCAGACAAATCTGTGAATTCACATTTTTCATTAGTTTCCAAATGTAAAGGACTGGATATGATTTTATTTTCTTGCATCACACCTTGCTAACATACGCCCCCTTCAGACAGGCCATGAAAAACGGAAATGTTCCGGACTCTGTCCGTAAGACCTTTGTGTCTGAATACAAACATCCGGATAACGTGTTCCGGACTTTAACCGGACGAAGCCCCTAGTAACAGGTCCGGACTTGTTATGGACAGGGTGGCTGCTTCAGACTGGTGAGGTAGAGTTCCGAACAAGGGGGAGGGGGAGGAGGAGGGGACCGGGGGACGCTGTTCGCACCTAGATAGCTCGCTCCTGTAGCATGCGGCAAACCACGGCAGCTCGCCTCATACGGTACCGCCTAGACGTGCGACGGAGCGCATCACACCGCTTCAGTGATTCCTTTAACCATTGAGCTTCACCATCCAGGTCTCTTATGCGTCTTCGTGTGCGCAAAATTATGCTTAAGCTCCTCGTGATTTTTATCTTGAGAGGCGCTATAGAAATGATATTTTCTTCTTTTTCTTAACATGAGTCCGATACCCCCCCCCCGTCAGACATCTGGAACTTTTCCCTGCTGTGTGAACGCAGCCGAAAGGACAAGTTCCACTACAAAAGTGGTGTGTTCCGGTTAAAAACCGGATTGAATTGTCCACAAATGTTCCAGAATGTCTATCTGAAAAGGGCTATATGAATCACAAGAAACCAGCTCAGTGGGCTAGTGGTATGAGTGTCTGCCATTGGACTGGGAGATCGGGGTTCAAATCCCGGTTGGCTCATACCAACGATTTAAAAATTGGGACCCAATGCCTGCATGCCTGACACTCAGCTTCAAGGAGTTGGATTAGGAGGTTAAACCACCCAAAATTTCCCGAGCGCAGCCGTGTCTGCAGCTCGCTGCTCCCCATTAGGATGGGACCTTTAACCTTTAACTCCCAGGTGTTTGAGAAGACGTGTCATGTCTCACCATGATGGTCTGTCCAGGTTTGACGACGTTCAGCTCAGCCAGGCTCTGCAGGATCTCACTGACGGCCTTCTCGCGCAGTGAGACACCAACGACTGAATCTTCCCCTCCATGTTTGCCGCTTTCACCTATTTCCTCTTGCTCTGCTCCTGTTAGTTCACCATCTGTGGAACAATGCACAAGTGCCTCAGCCGACTAATGTTTGTACATAATTGATCTGAAATGCAAAAACTCATCACAGCCGATGTTGAAGCAGCACTAAAGCCACGTTATTGCTTTGAAACAGGTTTTAGTGGTTCTTGAGCCACTAAAACCTGAAGAGCTTCACATGGGACAGCACTCGGGAAAATGGATGTTTGGTCTACAAACTATATTTATTTCACATTTTGAGAACAAAAATAAATGTTTACAGAGGAGGATCACTGAAAAATGTATACTTGTTTTTATGAGCACAACTTTGACCCGGTTAACATGAAATCGATAACCCAACCTGAAAGTCTGTTAATGCTCTCTTCCCCAAACTACTTTTGTGTTTGTAGAAGAAGGTCACGTTAAAATTTCACCAGCAACAAACAGCTTTCCTATTTATGAAGCTGCACACCTGAGAGAAGCTCCCTGTTTCCTCTCTTTGATTTACACCCAAAAACACAGATACACAAGCACTCTTCTCCTGTTGCTGATCACAAATACCTCTGATGTTTCCACTTCTCATTATCTACACTAAAGAGGCTCTGTGTGTTGTTCCATCTGCCCAGGCAGCTACAACCTACCTTCTTATGTTAAGTCTTAAACAACTCATTAAAACAGAATTGTTATTTTTTTTATTTATCAAAGATAAAATGTGTAAAAAAAAAAAGTGTATTTTTACATCTTTGGAACCTTTATATGAACCAACTCCTATTTAGGTGTTTTAAACAGCTCACTGACCAGAGAGGCTTTTTACGTCCACATCCCAATCATTTTTACCTGATCAGACCTTTAAGGTTGCCATAGTGACAATCCTTCCAGTAATTTCTACGAGGCAGATTTGGCTCAGCACTCATCCAAAATATCCTGCAGAACAAATTCATGTTTTCTCGCCCTGTCTGATTCTAGACTTTTCTACACATCACAAAAGTCTCAGAGTTAGTGCTGCCGGTACGTAGCGTCCACAGTGAAACTCAAAGAACTTCGTCTAATCCTTCACAATAAGAGTCTCAAACATAAACCTGCTAAAAAAAGGTTTGAAAGGCGTGGTTCACTGAAAAAAACATATTTGATTATTATTTCTGATCACAATTATATAAAATTATATTAAATATTCCAGGAGATCCACTCAAGAGAATACCTAATGAGGATGTTGTCACTAGCACGGTGTGTTTGCTATAAATAAACCCAGATTTATTACCTAACTCAGCCAAAGCAGGAAGCAGGTGGATCTTGGCTCAAATGAATGCAAAAGCAACATTTGAGGGTGTCAATGGGATCTGAAATTAGAGTTTGCATTCATCCGTGTGTATTATTTGTGCTCAGTGAGATCTCACCATGGCTGCTAGGCTTGTCCGTGGACTTGTCGTTCTCTCCGTCCGCCTGTCCATCAGCGTCCTGCTCAGCATGCTGCAAACTGAGCTTGTGGCACACCTCGAACGCCTGACCCACTGTCCGCACAATACGCATGGCCTGCGTCTGACAGGGAGAGAACCACAACCCAATAACATAAAAGGCTTACGTGGCACCTGTCCAAAAGAACGTTCTAATTAGTTTCTCTAGTCTGGTTGCAGATAATACGGCACGTTTATGGGACTGCTAAACATCCGAGCTGAGACAGCATCAACGTCCAATGAGCCAAAACCGCCTCTTCTGTATTCAGTGCAGGCGGCTGTGGTTCTGAACGTTCACCCAGATGCTGGAAACTGAGTAACATCAAAGTTAAGAGCAGAAATGATGAACGGAGCCAAAATGATTTGAAAAGTAAGTCATTCGTGCATCAAAACAATGCATTTAGACAAATATTTCTCATATTTCTTCCACTGAAGGAATTCTGGTTGACACTTTGCTCTTTTCCCATCTTCACACAGAGCCGTAAATCCTCTGCAGCCAGCAGCTTAACACTCTGCACCCAGACAGAGAGGGATCGACTCTCTCCTCTGACTCCCGTGCGCGCTCAATCATGGGCATCCTCTGCAACCTTCTGCACATATCGAACACTAAAACAGCTTAATTACATAATCTGACCGTACCTTCTTTTTAGACTTGAAGACGTTACATCTGAAGGAATTATTGGAACCATCTCTGGCAATGTAGCTGAAGATCTTCAAGTCCTGGGAATCGTGGGATACATAGAAAATCCTGGAAATCAGAGGAGAAAAATAGAAAATTGGGTAACCTGGATAATAATTACAGTGATTTATTCTACAGTGAAAGAAGCCTAATAAACGGTTTGTGTTTCTGGCCCTTGCAGAAACGATCCTTTAGAGAGCCAACGTGTAAGACAGTAATTATTCATAACTTTAACACAGAAACACACTTCAGAATGGCTGACACAATCCTTTAAGGATGAAGGCTGAGAGCTGTGGCGTCACTGATGTAAAAAGTCCCAAGTGCCAACCAGGCAAAGATGCTAAGACACAATCACAAGTGCAGAAAAAACAACAAAGATATTTGCTTTAAACCTCTAAAGTCCCTTGATAAGGTGTGGTTGTGTCACAAAGTGTTTATCCATAATCTAAAATGCATAGTCTTTGTTTCATGAGCGTTTCTGAGTGAAGACCACACAAAAACCAGCAGAGCTGAACTCCGTTTGCCATCAGCTGATGGTTGCTTGATTGCAATTAGGACCAGACAGATGCTCTGCTTCCTACATGCCAACTTATAGATTATTCATTAGAGAAGTTCCTACATTTGCCGTATGACCATTCAAGCATGTGAACCTTAAATGATGACAAGCATGGGAACAACCTTGGCTTCATCCATCTAAATGGACTGTGAAGGTATTATTTCATCAGAAAAGCTTTTTGTTTAAAGCTAACATCCCAGCCAGCATACAAAGGTGGACCCCATATGGATATATGCTCACTGGCCACTTTATTTGGTACATCTGTCCAAATGCTTGTTAGCTCTAATTACTAATCAGCCAATCACAGGTTGGCAACTGAATGCTTTAGGGCATGTCAACATGGTCAAGATGATCCACTGCAGTTCAAACCAAGCTTCAGAATGGGGATGGAAGGTGATTTAAGTGACATTGAACATGGCATGGCTGTTGGTGCCAGATGGGCTGGTCTGAGTATATCAGAAACTGTTGAGTTTTTGGGATTGTCACGCACAACCATCTCTAGGGTTTACAAAGAATGGTCCAAAAAAGAGAAAACATCCAGTGAGCGGCAGTTCTGTGGGCGAAAAGGCCTTGTTGATGCCAGAGGTGAGACGAGAATGGCCAGACTGGTTCGATCTGATAGAAAGTCAACAGTAACTCAAATAACCACTCATTACAACCAAGGTATGTAGAAGAGGATCTCTGAATGCACAACCCATCGAACCTTGAGGCAGATGGGCTACAGCAGCAGAAGACCACACCAGGTGCCTGAGGCTACAATTCACACAGGCTCACCAAAATTAGACAATAGAAGATTGGAAAAATGTTGCCTGGACTGATGAGTCTCAATTTCTGCTGCGACATTCAGATGGTAGGGTCAGAATTTGGCGTCAAAAACATGAAAGCATGGATCCATCCTGCCGTGTACGGTTCAGGCTGGTGGTGGAAGTGTAATGGTATGGGGGACATTTTCTTGGCAAACTTTGGGCCCCTTAGTATTAACTGAATATCGTAGCAACGCCACAGCCTACATGAGTATTGTTGCTGACCATGTCCATCCATTTATAACCACATTGTACCCATCTTCTGATGGTTACTTCCAGCAGGATAACGCACCATGTCATAAAGCTCGAATCATCTCACACTGGTTTCTTGAACACGACAATGAGTTCACTGTACTCAAATGGCCTCTACAGTCACCAGATCTCAATCCAATAGAGCATCTTTGGGATGTGGTGGAACGGGAGATTCGCATCATGGATCTGCAGCCGACAAATCTGCAGCAACTGCGTGATGCTTTCATGTCAATATGGACCAAAATCTCTAAGAAATGTTTCCAGTGCCTTGTTCAATCTATGCCATGAAGGATTGAGGCAGTTCTGAAGGCAAAAGGGGGTTCAATCCGGTACCAGCAAGATGCACCAAATAAAGTGGCCATTGAGTGTATGTAGGCAAACCATATGGGTCCTAACAGTCTGTAGATTCCATGGTGGCCCCACAGTGTATTTCCCACAAATATACCAGGCCCATGTAGGAGTCAAACTATCTGGGTCCCTCCCCACAACCCTTGTAGGATCCCTGTAGGGCCACCATGGAACCTCTGGACAAATCCTTTTGGGCCCCACCTACGCATGCTAGCTGGGCATTTAGCTCTAATTGGATGGAACTGACCTGTAGATTGGGTCGTGCATGATCAACATTTTGCTTTCATCCCAAGTCCATTCTTTTCTCTGTTATGACACAAATAATGAGCATTAGGCACAGGTAGATATTTATGCCTTTATCAGAACTAATTTATCTTCATGGTCTCACCTTCTGCTTTTTCCTTAAAGACACCTTGACTCCATCCACAGACACCACAATGCTGACCTTCTTCTTCTTGATGTTCTTGGCTTTGAATTCATACTAGGAGAAAAATAAAATCAGGGTCAGAAAGCATTACATGTTGTATTGAATTAACCTATGGCACTCAAACGGTGAGTTTAACATGTACAAGATATAAGGAAAGAAGGTATATATATATATATATATATATATATATATATATATATATATATATATATATATATATATATATATATATATATATATATATATATATATATATATATATACATATATATATATATATATATATATATATATATATATATCCCATCTCATCCTCTGTGGGTGGGCTCATTCTTCTAAGATGTGATAGTTGTCATTTGTGAATGATGGAACACTGAGCTACTAGTTGTTTGGCTGTTACTGTTGTGTGCAGGTTTCGAAGTAACCATTCTTTCCACATTATCTGCATGTGACCCCTCTGACTAGGGTTATTGCAGTTGTAGCATTCCAACAGATCCAGGTTCTCGCGTCTCGCCTATTTCTCTCTTGTTCCAGTAGCCCACTTTTCATCAGGGTACTCTGGCTCCCCAGCACTTAGGGCAGACCTTGTTGGGCTGGGCAATGCCTGAGCTAGCATCTCATTCATTTCAGTTGCTCTCATCATGGTATGAGGTAAATGGCACCAATAGTTTTGCCTAAGGATCCTTGGTAGGCAATTGAGTCAAGGGTCTTGCTTAAGGGCCCACTCTGGATGTTGGTATGAACAGAAGATTTCAAATTTGGATTCATGAGTCCACAATACCTTCTTCCAGTCTTCAGTTATCCGATGGTGGTGTTTCATGGCCCAGGCAAGCCTCTTTCTCTTATTCTGACGTCTTAGCAGTGGCTTTCTTGCTACAACTCGTTCTGTTAAACCTGCAGCTCGAAGTCTTATCTTCACAGCTGAAACTGAGACTTGCTTACTATGATCACTATTAAGCTGTGCTTGAAGCTGTTGTCCTGTGAGCCACCTTTCACGCAAGCTGTTAACTGTCAGAAACTTGTCCTCTGATGCAGTTGTGGCTTTGGGTCTACCAGACCTCTTCCTGTCAGAATTTGCCCCAGTTTCTGAGTGCCTTTTGATGGTGAAGGAAACTGTACTCACTGACACCTTGACTTTCTTTACAATTTCTCTGTAGGAAAGACCCACATTTTCAAGTGTTATGTTGGTCTGTCTCTCTTACATTGTTAATTGTCTTTTTCTTGCCATTTTTGTAGCAAAACACTATTGTCTGCAGTACAACACTGTTCAACTGATGCTCACGAGAGTATGGTACCACAGTATGTTCCAGCACTGCTTTTATGCAGACAGAGGGGGTTGTAAGTAATCCAGAAAAGTTGAAACACCTGTGGGAATTAGTAGCACCAGCTTTCAAGGCTTGATCAACCTCCATCGCAGCAGAACAGCTGTGTTCCCTGAAAAAGGTCTTCTTGTATAATTCTGAAATGTACGTTATTTTTCAGTTTTGAGTAACCTTACCTTTTTTTAAACCTCTGGCAGTTCACCACTTAACTTTGTACCATTTCAAGCTATTCATTGGAATTGAATGACTTAAACTGCAATGAAAAACTGGAAAATCGGGGCGTTAAATAGTGCATTATTTGCACTGATGCCTGGGATTTTAGCTCTACTAGCTGTTGAAAGGGTTTTAGGCCATGTACACACATAGCTGAGTATCTGAAAAAACAAAGATATATTTCTATGGTTTGGCCTGTCATCCACACAAAACCAAAGATATATGGCACCAAAAATTATTCTTTCAGAAACGTCCGACAAAGGTCGAGATTTGCAAATTTTTCGATATCAGACGTTACTTGCAGAAGTAAGTAACCAGGGTTTTAGGTTTCGCAAAGTCACTGTCCATTACAAAAATACTCTGACATGACAAGAGAATCAATGGCAAATCTACAAATCAGGCTAGCTTAAAAAAACATGTAATGCCTCTTAACAATGTTTTAACATAGCATAAATATAAATAAGAAAACAACGACAAAAATATTACGTGGTTCCGTTGCATTTGTCTAAAAACCTCTGCCATTGACACGTTTTGGACCAAAAAGATTTGGCCATCCGCTTGCCGGTCTCACCAAACCACCGCATTTTCCTGGGTCCTCCATTCATTAAGCACTTGTGCGTTTTGCAACAGAGCACCACTGGTGTGAGGAGAAACAGCCAGCTGCTACCACTTCAACTTTAGGACAAACTACCACTGCCCCAAAAAGAAAACCACCATTTTAATTCACAGACAACAAAAGATGTTTAGACATAGAAAACTGTGACTGGTGTTTTATGCGCTCTCGTTTCCTCTGGAAATGCCGGTTCCGGTATCAGGTGGACTTGAATTAGGGATGATAGCCGACGGCAGGGGTGAGAGTTCTGTGACCGTGTTTGTGTTTACAAGCTGGCTTGTTTTGCAGATTTGCTATTGTAGCTTTAAGGACAGTTATTGCCCACCACCTAGTTATTCCGTGTTTAAGGAATGTTTTTCAACCTAGATGCAGACGATTTGGGGAACTAATGTGACCTACAGGCTTGGCATGCCTATGAATGTGTTTCACAATGCACTGGATTTTTTTTCTGAAAACAAGGTAGTGTGGACCCAAGTTTCTTTACTAAATAGGCGGGGAGGGTATTCAGTTTTACCAAAACCCAGTACATGGCCTCACTTGCAGCTCTGATTACTCAAAAGCCTCTTATTTTGTAGTTTGCATTTTGTTTATTTTCTGATCAACTTAAATTTTTGGATTCTGGAAGTAAAATCTGTCACTTGGAAGATTTGCTGTTTGTGCTTGGTGAAGATGAGTTAACAGACCAGAAAAAAACATACATGCATTTTTTCTATTGCTGCTTGATTAATCTGATATTTGAGTTTAAAACCAGCTTCATACTGAATATTGGCTGATTCCAAACACTGGCTTTGTTTTCAGGACACAGTTAATAAAAGTCTCACAAAAACTTAAAAATGCTGAAAATGACCAAAAGCAAAAGCAAGCTAGAACAGTGGTGGATTTTAGTTGAGTTTTTAGTCTAAAAATAAAGAGAAGTGCTTTAAAAAAGCATAACTTTCCCATCAAGCCATACACTTTGACATCCGCACTGCAAACTTCTCTTGAAAGCCCAACTCTAACTGCTCATAAGTGAATGATGTCCTGCTTTGCCAGGGTGACTGAATTAAGAGCTAATTAATCATTAAACAGTCTGAAGTGCACTTTATTAAAACGACAGCTTGTATTAGGAGTCCTAAAGCCAAGAGTTACTTGATGGGAAGACAGAAAAGAAAGCTGTAGAACAAGGGTTATATACTCAATTTTCTACCAAAGAGGCATTTTTGTCCTAATTGTGTTTACTTTGCTGAATTAGAAACGGTCTGAGTGACTAACACGTTTCCCCCTCACAGCTGAACTCGAGCTCGGTAGAGAAACTTAGCATGTCTGGCCTGCCAACTCAAATCAGTGTCCTTTTTAAACACGAAACACACTTAAGTCTTCCTCCGGGGACTATCAGGACAAAAACAGCTGTCGTGTCACTAAACGAACGGTCACATATGCAGCAGTGCTGCAATTCAGCCGAGGACGAAGACACCTGTTGGGTTTAATTTGTTTAAAGACAAGAAATAAATTACGCTCACATGTGGTCGTTAAATGTAAAGCTGTTGGCAGCAGACGGTGGTTAATCTAAGCTATAAAAGCAGAAAAGACAGCACAAAGTTGTGTTTTGTTTTCTGTGTATGCATGAGCATAAATATTAGCTTAGTAGCTCTAATAAAAATCCTAGAGGTGCATCAGATCAGGCTATGCACTGGGAAGAAGTACACATGTAACTCGTGGTTAACCCACAAAACAAAGATATTTTTCTAGGATTTGGACTCATACATAGGTTTGGAATGTCATCCACATAAACGCTATTAAGGTTAGGCGATATATGAAATTTCACAAAGAGATATTCACCAAAAAATCACAACATATTCATATTCATGCAGGTGATGTTTAGACCTTTTTTGGTCCTGGCACACACGGCATGCAAGAATCCACCAATCACAATCGTTCTTATTCAGTTTATGGAAGCAGAACATTGGAGTTCCTTGTTTTTTTATTTATTTATTTAATTAGCTATTTGATGCAACAATCAACAGTGTTCTGTTCTGCATCACTACTGGTTTGGATTGAATATGGCTTTATTTTATTGCATCACACCAGTACCTTGCTAATATAATAATCACAAGAAGAAATAAATTTGAGCGGTTAACCGGCTCAGTGACCCAGTGGTATGAGTGTCCGCCCTGGGACTGGGAGATCGTGGGTTCAAACCCACAGTCAGGTCATACTTTAAAAATGGAAAGCAGTACTTCGCCGCTTGACACTCAGCTTTAAGGGGCTGGATTGGGGGGTTAAACCACTTAATAGTTCCAGAGCGCAGCCACTGCTGCAGTTCACCGCTCGCCACAGTGATGGGTCAAATGCAGAGATGTAATTTCACCATTGTCTGATGATTGTGACTGTAATGGGACTTTAAAGAGCAAGTAATGCCTAAATTAACTTTTTTTGCTGACAACCTGTATAGATGAGTGTCTAATGGTGCTGTGCACATGTGTAATCATTAGTGTGGCAATTAAGTGCCACTTACTTTAAATTTAATATTTCAGCCCAAAACCATAATTGTATCTCCATCTTCAGGTTAAAACTCTGCTCCACATTAATGAAGAACCAGCTGTGCTGATGGCTAAGTTGAAAAACGTGATGTTATCAGCTAATTACTACGTGGCTGCACCACACTGGTCTCCAGGTGAGGCAGCCGCACCTCCACCTGGCTCAGCCACTCACCTGCCAATATGACACGCTGGCTCTCTGAGCCGCTCGCCTCCTTGAAAAAAATGCCCTCCTCCCCTTTTCATCTAATGATCGTGGTTAACAGGAAATCCTCCAGAATGCTGCAGAATCTGTGTCTGCTTTTCTCCTGAGCGGTAAGTCTTGTGTGAGTGCGTGCACGCGCTCGTTAACAACTAGTTTTTAGATTGAGAAACTCCAACAGCACACGC